TCTTAAGGCTGAGTTTAAGATAATTTTTTTACGTTTTTTAATACCTTATTCTATATAGTTATTAATTTTAATTTAATAATCTTATTAAAAGAATTTAATTTAATTGCTGTTATCTAAATAGAATTGTAAAATGGATGTTAAAATTTGCCTTAACATATATGTATGTTAACTACTAGACTTGATTTAGTTATTATAGCCAATTGCACAGTGTTGCCAATATTTGTTCAGAATTCAAAGTCGCCAAATGCTTAGCATATCTTAAGGAGGTTAATAAGTGTATAGAAAGTGCGTATAACAGTTTAGCTTTTCTCTTTCATTCGTCTTCTTCCTTTTTTATTTAGTTCTCCTTTAATCTTTTAACTAAGCGGATGCAATTTTTGTTAAAATTTATGAAGATGCCAGTAAAAACTGTATTTTTTGGATTAATTTATTTAAAACAGTGTTAATTAAGGGAAAATGACAAATAAAAATATGTAATTAAGTGTTTTAGTGTTTTACCCCATAAGAAATTAATTAGTTTTAGAATGCTGTTCTTTGCTTTGGCAACTTTGCACAGGCAACCTTTCAAATACATGCAAAGGTAAGTTTGTTTTTGCAAAATTTAAACAAAATGTATACAAAACAAATTGCGGTATAATTATTTGTAGGTATTTAACAAATTTAACAATTTTGTTCAAAATCGTATGATTTTCTTGATACAAAACTTTCTTATTATTATTGTTGTTGTTTTTCTCCCTCCCCATATATTTGTTGTTATAATACATAGCAATGTTATTGTTTCAAAGGTTTCGCATGGCATCAGGCCGCGACTTGTTAAAATCTGCAGCCGTAGTTGTTGTTGTTTATGAAATTTGTTTGTACGTTTCTTTTGTTATTGTGTCATCAGTGTCACACTGCCATTTGTTTGTGTATAGTGGGTTTTTGGACGGGCTTTTACAGACTTTTACAAAAACAACGTGCAATTTGTTGTTGGTTATTGTTGTTGCGTTTGTAAAATTTAACCGTTGGTTTTGTTCTGTTTAGATTTGTTATATGCATGTGCTACTACACTTGCTGGTAGGATCGTTTAGAAAGTAAAGCAGAAAGAGAATAAATGGGTTTTTATTTGTTTTGGTATGTTAAGGATTTTGCGTGTTTCGTTTTTTCTCAAGCATAGATATTTCTAACTAATAATTACTGCTTCATTCGTAGAGTGTTCTTCTTTCTTAGCTTTGTTTTTATAAACAAGCAAGTACATACAAGAACAAACTTTACCGAATGATTATGTGTGTTGTTGTTTGTTTATAATTTCTGTCTCAGCGTGCACCAAACATCACACCATTTTTTATGAAATTTTCAGAAATTGTCTCGGATTTTGCATATATTTGCATATCTCCGTTATTTATGAACCTATTTAGACTATAGACTAGACTATAGACTAGACTACAGACTAGACTATAGACTAGACTATAGACTAGACTATAGACTAGACTATAGACTAGACTATAGACTAGACTATAGACTAGACTATAGACTAGACTATAGACTAGACTATAGACTAGACTATAGACTAGACTATAGACTAGACTATAGACTAGACTATAGACTAGACTATAGACTAGACTATACTAGACTATAGACTAGACTATAGACTAGACTATAGACTAGACTATAGACTAGACTATAGACTAGACTATAGACTAGACTATAGACTAGACTATAGACTAGACTATAGACTAGACTATAGACTAGACTATAGACTAGACTATAGACTAGACTATAGACTAGACTATAGACTAGACTAGACTAGACTATAGACTAGACTATAGACTAGACTATAGACTAGACTATAGACTAGACTATAGACTAGACTATAGACTAGACTATAGACTAGACTATAGACTAGACTATAGACTAGACTATAGACTAGACTATAGACTAGACTATAGACTAGACTATAGACTAGACTATAGACTAGACTATAGACTAGACTATAGACTAGACTATAGACTAGACTATAGACTAGACTATAGACTAGACTATAGACTAGACTATAGACTAGACTATAGACTAGACTATAGACTAGACTATAGACTAGACTATAGACTAGACTATAGACTAGACTATAGACTAGACTATAGACTAGACTATAGACTAGACTATAGACTAGACTATAGACTAGACTAGACTATAGACTAGACTATAGACTAGACTATAGACTAGACTATAGACTAGACTATAGACTAGACTATAGACTAGACTAGACTACTAGACTAGACTATAGACTAGACTATAGACTAGACTATAGACTAGACTATAGACTAGACTATAGACTAGACTATAGACTAGACTATAGACTAGACTATAGACTAGACTATAGAATAGACTATAGACTAGACTATAGACTAGACTATAGACTAGACTATAGAATAGACTAGACTATAGACTAGACTAGACTATAAACTAGACTAGACTATAGACTAGACTATAGACTAGACTAGACTAGACTATAGACTAGACTATAGACTAGACTATAGACTAGACTATAGACTAGACTATAGACTAGACTATAGACTAGACTATAGACTAGACTATAGACTAGACTATAGACTAGACTATAGACTAGACTATACTACTAGACTAGACTAACTAGACTAGACTATAGACTAGACTATAGACTAGAGACTATAGACTAGACTATAGACTAGACTACTATACTAGACTAGACTAGACTATAGACTAGACTATAGACTAGACTATAGACTAGACTATAGACTAGACTATAGACTAGACTATAGACTAGACTATAGACTAGACTATAGACTAGACTATAGACTAGACTATAGACTAGACTATAGACTAGACTATAGACTAGACTATAGACTAGACTATAGACTAGACTATAGACTAGACTATAGACTAGACTATAGACTAGACTATAGACTAGACTATAGACTAGACTATAGACTAGACTATAGACTAGACTATAGACTAGACTATAGACTAGACTATAGACTAGACTATAGACTAGACTATAGACTACTATAGACTATAGACTAGACTATAGACTAGACTACAGACTAGACTATAGACTAGACTATAGACTAGACTATAGACTAGACTACAGACTAGACTATAGACTAGACTATAGACCAGACTATAGACTAGACTATAGACTAGACTGTAGACTAGACTATAGACTAGACAAAATACTGAACTATACTAGACTGTAGACTAGACAAAAGACTATAATATATACTAGATTATAGACTAGACTGTATACTATATTTTAAACCACACTATAGACTAGACTATAGACTAGACCAGACTATAGACAATATAGTAGACTAGACTATGGACTAGACTAAACTATAGACTAGACTAAACTAGACTACACTAGACTATAGACTAGACTAGAGTAGACAACACTACACTAGACCAGACTATAGACAATATAGTAGACTAGACTATGGACTAGACTAGACTAAACAAGACTATAGACTAGACTAGAGTAGACTACACTAGACTAGACTATACTATATACTATAGAGTATAGACTATAGACAAGGCTAGGCTAGGCTAGACTGTAGACCAAACTATTAACTGGACTATAGTCGAGATTATAGACTAGAATATAGACTACACTATAGATAGACTATAGATTAGAATGTTGACTAGACTATAGAGTAGACTGTAGACTAGACTATAAACTACTACGTGGGCCACTTATCAAACGTTTAGAGTTAAAAAAATACCGAATTTGTCGTGGGGTCTCCGCGGTATTTATCAATATCTAAAATTACTGAAAAGAGTACTTACATAAGTACTGAATTTTCCAGGCCTGCTCTGGACAGTGTATTCTTGAGAAAAGCTCTTATATGTTAACATAATTTCCTTTTAATTTAAAACAATTTGAAAAGTTTTTGTGTATTTTTTTGTTTATTGATTTGTGATTAAACAACTAACATTTTTTTCGAAAAGATAAAGATAAAAATAATAATAATATAATAGTAATAATAGTATAATAATAATTCAAGCATACCTTTTTACAGAAATATAAAGTTTTGTTAATAATAGTAATTCTTAATAATGTTTTGTTAAAGTTTAAAGAGCGTAATTATAATCATCATCATCATAATAATATTTATATATATAAAAAAAAGATTTTAGTTTTAAAAGTAAAGGTTAAACACATAAAAATGTTAATTTAAATTTAAAGAACATAAAGAAAAGTTAAGAGATGTTTTAAATTTAATACAATTTTAATAATTTTTTACACAATTTAAAGCCAAATTTTAAAGACATTTAACAATTTTTTTTAATAAAATTTCATAAACTTATAACAAAAATTTAGCATAAATTAAATGATATGATACAATTGGGTTTAAGTTTAAAATATAATTATAAATTTATTGCATTTAGTTTAAAATATTTGCTTTAGCAATTCGTAACAGTTTTTATTTTCGATTTTTTTTTTAAATTTCAATATTTAGCATAAAACTTCATAAACATTTCGATAATCGTTTTAACATTTCATAGAGATTTTTTATTTTTTCAAGCTTTTAATATATTTTTAATAATTATGGTAAATTTCATAAAATTTTTTCCAAAAAAAACACAGTTAGAGAGCGGAAGAGAGTTTGTGGTAATATTATTGACATTTAGTTTAAAAAAGACACCAATGGGTTGTTTAAAAAAAAGAGCATAATTAAGACAATTATATATAAATTTTTGAAAAATACATTTGTTTTGTTTATATAAATGTTTTGTTTTTTTTTTTTGTATATAAATATAAAAAAAGGACAAATTTTGAAAACATTTTTAAAAAATGTTAAAAATTCAACATTTATAAGTATATTTTAGTTTGTTTTCTTTAATTAAAGTTTTTAATAAATGTTATAAATATTTCAAAAATTTAAATCGTTACAATACATATAATATTATTAACTTGGTTAACAAATATGTATGTATTTTCTTTTGTATGTATGTAATTATTTTAAGCCTTAATTTATTCTTATATATTTTTTTTAACAATAACAACAATTAGTTAAATATTTATTTTTAAATTTTACTTAAACACAACTAAACTTAATGCCATCATCACTTGAGTAACAATTTTGACAGTGTAATTTATGATTGCGCACTCGAACATCGGTACCATTAAGACCATCGCCCAGCTGGACATGACAGACACAGCATTTGAAACAGTTGATGTGATAGAATAATAGTAAAGATTCAATAATCATGGCAGCTCCACGTCCTAGAAGATTTTTTTTGTTTTTTTAAAGGGGAAAGTAAAAGAAAATTAATTTAATTTAAAATTATAAAAAATATTTTAAATAAAAAGTAAAATTTAAAAAAAAAAATAAAGTTGGTTTTGTTGTTGTGTTTTTTTAAGTTTATAGAAAACCGAGAAATTTGCTTTGAAACTAAAACTTAACCTCAATAAACAAAATCTAATTAGTTGGACTTTTAAGATCTTTTGCTTAGAAAAGTTTCTTCAGAGCAAGTTTTAAAAGAGTTCCTCTAGAGACAATTTTCTCTAGAAAAGTTCTCAACAAGCTTCTCAACAGAGAGATTTCTTTGAAATTTGTCTACAAAGAGAGTTTTCTTTAGCTATGTTTCTCTAGAAAGAGTTTTCTTTAGAAAACTTCATATAAGACAAAGTTTTCTATAGAAAAGTTTCTCTAGAGATAGTTTCCTTTAGAAAATGTTCACATAAGAGAATTTTCTTTAGAAAATGTTTACATAAGAGAGAGATTTCTTCAGAAAAGTTTCAACACAGAGAGTTTTCTTAACAAAATTTTCTCTAGAGAGTGCTTTTTTAAAGTTTCACTAGAGAGAGTTTTTTAGAAGATTTCTCTAGTAAAGTTTCTTTACAGGAAGTTTTCTTTAAAAAGGTTTCTCTTTAGAAAATGTTCACATAAGAGCGTTTTTTTACAAAAGCTTTCTTAACAAAAATTTCTCTAGAGAGTGATTTTTAAAGTTTCTCTAGATAGAGTTTTTTTAGAAGAGTTTCTCTAATGATGTTTCTTTACAGGAAGTTTTCTTTAAAAAGCTTTTTCTAGAGGTAATTTTCTTTTAAAAAGTTTCTCTCTAGAGAGAATTATCTTTAAAAAAGTTGTTCTAGAGAACGTTCTTTTTATATAGAAGTCTTGCTAAAGAAAGTTTTCTTTAGAAAAACTTCCCAAGAAAGTTTTTCTCAGAGAAGTTTCTTTATAAAGAGTTTTTTCATTAAAACAGTTTCTCTAGAAAAGTTTCTTTAGAAAGAGTTTCCTTTAAAGAGATTCCTTTCTTAAGTGTAGTTTATCTAGAGAATGTTTTTTAAGAAATGTTTCACTAAAGAAAGTTTTCTTTAGAAAATCTTCACAAGAGCTTTCTTTAAAGAAGTTTCTTTGGTAAAGTTTCTCTAGAAAGAGATTGCTTTAGAAAAGTCTTTCTATAAAGAGTTTTTTTAGAAAAGTCTCTCTAGAAAGATTTTTTTTTAGAAAAGTCGCTCTATAGAAACTTGTCTTGAAAACCAGAGTAAGTTTTCTTCAGAAAAGTTTCTTTAGAAATACTTTACTTTCGATATGTTTCTTTGGAAAGAGTATTTTCTTTAAACAGTTTCTATTAAGGGAGTTTTCTTTAAAAAAGTTTAGAAAGAGATTTTCTTAGAAAAGTTTCTGTAGAGAGAGTTTTTTTTAGGAAAGTTTCTCCTGGAATACTTTTCTTTAGACAAGTTACTTTGGAAAGAGTGTTTTCTTTAAAACAGTTTCTCTAGAGGGAGTTTTGTTTAGAAAAGTTTATCTGGAAACATTTTTCTTAAGAAAAGTTTCTCTAGAAAGAGATATCTTTAGAAAAGTTTCTCTAGAGAGAGTTTCGATTAGAAAAGTTTTTCTAGAGAGATTTTTTTTTAGAAAATTGTCTCTATAGAAAATTTTATTTGAAAAATTTGCACCAGAGTCAGTGTTCTTTTAAAAATTTTATCTAGAGATAGTTTTCTTTAAAAATGTTTCTTTGAAAAGAGTACTTTCTTTAGAAAAGTTTCTCTAAAGAAAGTTTTCTTTAGAAAAGTTTCTCTACAGAGAGTTTTCTTTAGAAATGTTTCTCTAGAGAGAGTTTTCTATAGAAAGGTTTCTCTAGAGAGAGTTCTCTTTAGAAAGGTTTCTCTAGAGAGAGTTTTCTATAGAAAAGTTTCTCTAAACTAAGGGTTCCTTTGAACATTTTCTCTAGAGAGAGTTTTCTTTAAAAATTTTCATATAAAGAGTTTCCTTTCGAAAAGCTTCATATAAGAGAGAGTTTTCTCTCTTTCGACAGAGTATTGCTTAAAAAAAGTGTCTCTAGACTTAGGTTTCATTGGAGCAGTTTCTATAAACTAAGCTTTTCTTAGAACAGTTTCTCTGGAAAGTTTTTTCTTTAGAAAAGTTTCTCTAGAAAGTTTTTTCTTTAGAAAAACTTAATATAAGAGAGAATTTTCTTTTCCATAAAATTTTTCTTTATAAAAACTTTATATAAGAGAGAGCTTTCTTTAGAGGATTCTTTAAGACAGTTCTCCTAGAGAGAAGTTCCTTTAGAAAAAGTTATCTTTTGAAAAGATGTGAAGAGAGTTTTCTTTAGAAACGTCTCTCTAGAGTGTTTTCTATAGAAAAGTTTCTACAGACTAAGTTTTTGTTAGAACAGTTTCTCTAGATAGAGATTTCTTTAGAAAAATTTTTGTAGATAAAGTTTTCTTTGAAAAAGTTTCTCTAGAGAGAATTTTCTTTAGCAAAGTTTCTGTAGAAAGAGTTTTCATTAGAAATCTATCACTAAAAAGTGTTTTTCCAAAAAAGTTTTTCTAGAGACGCAATTTTTTAATGAAAAACTAAATTAAGCAAACTTTATCCTTAAAAAACTTTTAACCTAATTTTCTACAGAGATTTATAATATTTTTAATAGATTCTTAAACTAAACTAATGAAAATTCAGCAAATTTGTATAATACACTTAAATTTAATATAATAAACTTAAATATTTTGTTATCTACAAAAATAATTAATTCTCTTAAGCCTTAATTAAGCCTTGAAACCTTTTAATTTTCATTTTAAATAAATTCGTTTAACTGCTTTAGCAAGCTGGGTGGGTTCATATTTATTATTCTAAAGGTGGTTTAAATTTTTTTTTAGCAAAAAATTTCTCGGTTTTCTTTAAAACAAAAATTAAGAAATAATTAACTAATATCCAGCAAAAGTTACATTTTAACTCAAAAATTATATTTATTTTTAAACAAAAAAAAATGTATAAATTTTTTTTAATAAAAAAATTAATATTGTTAAAAATTTAAATTCGTTTGTTTTTAATATTCGTTCGTTTCGTTCAACTACACCCAAACAATATATTTTAGTTCGCGATGTGTATGACGGCATTTATCGGCTGTGCAACCCATATCTATTAAAAATTATGTAAAAAAATCCATTTAATGAGAGCACAGGCATGTAAGGAAATAGATAGGAAATTTGAATTAAGTTTTTGTGAAATAAACGTTAAAGAAATAAATAAAAATTTAATGAAAATGTTTTACTAAAGTTGATCTTGAATAGTAAAGCAAAAGAAGTTCTTCTAGAGAGAGTTTTCTTTAGAAAGGTTTCCTGGAATAAGTTTTATAAAGAAAAGATTCTCTCTCAACAGATTTTACTTGAGAGACGAATCCTTGAAATAAGTTTTCCAAGGGAAATTTTGTATAAAGAAGTTTTCTTTAGAAAAATTTCTCTAAATAAAGTTTTATTTCAAAAAACTTGCTCTAGAGATAGTTTTCTTTAGAAAAATTTCCCTAGAGAAAGTTTTCTTTAAGTTTTATTTAGAAAAGTTGCTCTAGAGATAGTTTTCTTTAAAAAAATTTACCTAGAGAAAGTTTTCTTTAAAAGGATTTAAAGAAAAAGAAACTTTAGAGAAAGTTTTTTTTTTTACACAAGTTGCTCTGAAAAGAGTTTTCTGTGAAAGTTTTCTTTAGAGAAGTTGCTTTAGAAAGAGTTTCCAGAGAGAGTTTTATTATAAAAGTTTTTCTAAATAAAGTTTTCTTTGAAACAGTTTCTCTAGGGAAAGATTTCTTGAAAAAAGTTTTTCTAGAAAGAGTTTTTATGGAAAATTTTCTATACACAGAGTTTTCTTTAAAAAAGTTTCTTTCAAAAGAGTTTCTAGAAAGTTTCCTTGGAAAAGTTTCTCGAGATAAAGCTTTCTCTAGAAATGTTTCTATAATGAGAGTTTTCTTAAGAAAAGTTCCTTTAAATAAAGATTTTTTCTTAAGAGTTTCTCTAGGGAGAGTTTTCTTTAGAATATTTTCTCTTTTCTTTAAAAATTTACATTCTAAAGAGTTTCTAAAGGTAAAGTTCTCTTTTAAAAAAACTTTTCTCTATGAAGTTTTCTTTAGAATAGTTTCTATAATAAAGTTCTTTTTTAGGAGACTTTTCTCTAGAAAAGCTTCTCTAGAGAGAGTTCTTTTTAAAAGAATTTCTCTTAAGGGAGGTTTCCCTAAAAAAGTTTCTCTGGAGAGAGATTTCTTTAGAAAAGTTTCCCACGAGAGGTTTTTTAAGAAGAGCTTATCCAGAGAGTGTTTTCTTTAGAAAAAACTTCTCTAAAGAGAGTTTTCTTTAAAAAAGTTTCTGCAGAGAGAGTTCTCATTGCGAAAGTTTCTCTAGAAAGAGTTTTCTTTAGAAAATTTCTCCATAGAGAGTTTTTTAGAAGGGTATTCATTAGAAAAGTTTCTCTGGAGAGAGTTTTTCTAGAAAAGTTTCTCTAGAGAGAGCTTTCTTTAGAAAAGTCTCTCCATAGAGTTTTTTTAGAAAGATTTCAGAGAAAGTTTCTTTTAAAAATGTTTCATTAGAGAGAGTTTTTGTTAGTAATATCTCAGACTCTCTCTGACTCTTCTCTAGAAAAGCTTCTCTAGAGAGGGTTCTTTTTAAAAGAATTTATCTTAACGGGGGTTTCTCTAAAAAAGTTTCTCTGGAGAGAGATTTCTTTAGAAAAGTTTCCCACGAGAGGTTTTTTTAAGAAGAGCTTCTCCAGATAGTGTTTTCTTTAAAAAAAACTTCTCTATAGAGAGTTTTCTTTAAAAAAGTTTCTGCAGAGAGAGTTCTCATTACGAAAGTTTCTCTAGAAAGAGTTTTCTTTAGAAAATTTCTCCACATAGAGTTTTTACTTCATTAGAAAAGTTTCTCTGGAGAGAGTTTTTTTAGAAAAGTTTCTCTGGAGAGAGTTTTTTTAGAAAAGTTTCTCTAGAGAGAGCTTTCTTTAGAAAAGTTTCTCCAGAGAGTTTTTTTAGAAAGTTTTCAGAGAAAGTTTCATTTAAAAAAGTTTCATTAGAGAGAGTTTTTGTTAGTAATATCTCAGACTCTCTCTGGAGAGTTTTTTCTTTACAAAAGTTTCTCAAAAAAGAGTTTTCATTAGAAAAGTTTCTTAAGAAAGAAATTTCTTTAGAAAAGTTTCTCAAGAAAGAGTTTTCTTTCGAAAAGTTTCTCAAGAGACAGTTTTCTTTAGAAAATTTTCTCCAGAGAGAGTTTTTATTAGAAAAGTTTCTCCAGAGACAGTTTTTTTTTCAAAAAGGTTCTCTAGAGAGAGTTTTCTTTAGAAAAGTTTCTTAAGAGGAAGAGTTTTTCTTTTGCTTTACTGTCATTTTTTTACTACAAATTCAAAATTTTAAAAATGAGTGAGTTTATGTTGGCTTTTTCAAAATTCTTTCCAAATATGATTATATTTCTGAACGCAATCTAAGTGATTTAGTGATTCCCAAAAGAAAACTAATGCCTCGATAACTTGTTTGTTGATTTTTCATAAACTTTTTTAACACTCACAACCAACATTGATGCAAAAGTTACCTAATTCGTCGCCACAGTGAGAACATTTCTTTTTGCCACTAACACTTAGTACTTTGTCCTGTTGTTGTTGTTGTTGTTGCTGGGTTGTAGTATTAAGATTTGACTGGCCTTGTAGATTGGTAGTGGAGGACGTGGACGTTGTGGAGACTGATGTTGTTGAAGTTATTATATTATTATGACGGTGTATAACAGCATTGGAGACAGTTGATTGTTGCTGCTGTTGTTGTTGTTGATTTAGTTTGTTATTGTATTGCTGCTGTTGATATTGTTGGTATGTAGAGGCGGCATGTAGGGGACTTTTGTCTAAAGTATTTCTGGAATTAAGCAAGAGATTTAGTTTGTTATTTCATTTTTTTTTTTTTTAAATTACAATTGAAAAACTTACCTCTTTCTCTCACCAATGCCTTTGCTTTGCACTCTCTCCGTTAGAGTTTGTATTATGGAATCGGGCAAAGGTTTGCCGTTTGTCGAGCTCGATATCATAGCAGAGCCATTCACCAACTTATTATTAGACTGATGCACTGTGTTGGTATTCGTAGTGTTAACAGTTCTTCTCTGTTGCTGTTGTTGTTCACTCAAACGTCTTTGTTCGGCCTCTTGGATCAGCCAATGATTATTTTGATTATAACCATGATAAGAATCCGGCATAGATTTACGTTTCTGTTGATAGGCCGATAGCCAAGCTGGATCATTGGCTAGATTACTATCGTACGATTTGCGTTGCTGGACTTGTACCCAACCGTCGGTGTATTTGGGTTTTGGTGTAGCACTTAAAGCATGTAAGGTATTGCGTGACATATTGCCGGGATACAGTGATTGATTGACACTGTTATTGCTGTTGACCACTTGGGCAGACTGGGGGGCCGTGGTAGAAGAACTTAAATTCTGCACCGATTGATGATGATAATTGGAATAGATGTGGGGAGCTGCTCGTGGGGCAGCTGTGGGCTGTGCAGGAGCAATTTTAACCAAAGAACCACCAAAATGTTGTGAATTTAAAGAATGTCTTTGGCGGCCAGCATAATCCTGATGATCGCCATTAATCATTATGCCATTGGTGGTATTGGTATTAATATGCATGGCACGCATGGGTTTGGAGGGTGGTGCAGGTGGCGGTTGTGACATCATACGTTTGGAGAATTCATTAATATCGGACATGGATTTGCGATAATCGTTTTCCATGTGATAGTATTGTTGTTGTAAATTTGGAATATTAGCATAAATTTGTTGGGATTGCTGTTGTGGCGGCTGTGGCTGCTGCTGCTGAGGTTGAGCCAATTGTGTTTGACTTAGCAAATGCTGAGAGTTCTGCATATTATGATTCATTTGTGAATGATACATATCCATATTGTTTCCCGCCTCACCATTAATATTTACCACCGTCATGCCACCACCCAAACCATTAAGATCCTGTAAAGAACGTCTATTGGCCGACATTAACATTTTGGCTCCATGCTGCAACTCTCTCCTAGCCATATTCTCTCTTAACATAAGATTTTCTCTTTGCCGCTTCAGCTCTTCCTGTTCCAATTGCAATAGCTCCCGTTCTACTCTTAACACTTCTTCCTGTTCTCGTATCTTCTCTTCGATGGACATCATTTTAGCATTTGCTGTTGCGGTGGCCTCGGTTAGTGATTGTGTAGCTGCTGCTGCTACTGTAGCCGATTCGGTCCATGATTCGGCCGAATTTCCCTTGACTGTTGTTAACAGTGGTGTTTGCACCACCGCGAGTAGACCATCGTTTTGGTATAACATATCAGCTGGTGGTGGTACATCCAAACCGGTTTGTGTTTGCAGCGTTAAAGGTGATGTTGTGTCATCGTGTGTTTCATTCTCTTCCGAAGAGTTCGTATAGTGTTCACTACTCTGGCGAGAATGATTCTCAGAGACTCCGGAATCGCGACTTTCACCTAAATGGGGGAGAGATGGTTTATTAGTGTTTCGAAATTTTATTCGCTTAAGGTCAACGCTTTAAGCAGAAACTTAGTTTCTGAGGTTGGAGTTTTTCCATGATTTCTTAGGAATAACAGCTAGAAATACCTATCTATCTATCTATCTATCTATCTATCTATCTATCTATCTATCTATCTATCTATCTATCTATCTATCTATCTATCTATCTATCTATCTATCTATCTATCTATCTATCCATCTATCTATCTATCTATCTATCTATCTATCTATCTATCTATCTATCTATCTATCTATCTATCTATCTATCTATCATCTATCTATCTATCTCTCTATCTATCTATCTATCTATCTATCTATCTATCTCTATCTATCTATCTATCTATCTATCTATCTATCTATCTATCTATCTATCTATCTATCTATCTATCTATCTATCTATCTATCTATCTATCTATCTATCTATCTATCTATCTATCTATCTATCTATCTATCTATCTATCTATCTTCTATCTATCTATCTATCTATCTATCTATCTATCTATCTATCTATCTATCTATCTATCTATCTATCTATCTATCTATCTATCTATCTATCTATCTATCTATCTATCTATCTATCTATCTATCTAATCTATCTATCTATCTATCTATCTATCTATCTACTATCTATCTATCTATCTATCTATCTATCTATCTATCTATCTATCTATCTATCTATCTATCTATCTATCTATCTATCTATCTATCTATCTATCTATCTATCTATCTATCTATCTATCTATCTATCTATCTATCTATTCTATCTATCTATCTATCTATCTATCTATCTATCTATCTATCTATCTATCTATCTATCTATCTATCTATCTATCTATCTATCTATCTATCTATCTATCTATCTATCTATCTATCTATCTATCTATCTATCTATCTATCTATCTATCTATCTATCTATCTATCTATCTATCTATCTATCTATCTATCTATCTATCTATCTATCTATCTATCTATCTATCTATCTATCTATCTATCTATCTATCTATCTATCTATCTATCTATCTATCTATCTATCTATCTATCTATCTATCTATCTATCTATCTATCTATCTACTATCTATCTATCTATCTATCTATCTATCTATCTATCTATCTATCTACTATCTATCTATCTATCTATCTATCTATCTATCTATCTATCTATCTATCTATCTATCTATCTATCTATCTATCTAATCTATCTATCTATCTATCTATCCATCCATCCATCCATCTATATAAGGACAGAATTCCAAGCATATGTTCCACGGATCGTGCGAAGTGTTCCTGTAAAGTTTTACAGTTTGGCCAATGTTTACTCATTTCATGGGCCTGTAACACGGACCGGGCACCACTAGTTATAAACCGTTTTTCTTCAGAAAATATTTACAAAACACGTTTGTAAACCCGTAAACAGTTTAAGACCTACATTAAGCTTTATCAAAAGCTTACAAGTTAAAAGGTGCTGAGCCAAATAACTATGTACATGTAAGCTTCGAGAAAAAGAAAATCACAAAAAATCAATGATATGGTGCTGCACCTCTCAGCATGTAAAGGCCCCCTCTATATGTATATATAAAACTATAAGTAAGTCATTATATGTTTTTAAGAAGCAAACACATATGACGACTCACCCTTAACCTTTTAACAACACACACAGACACTAAACGGATTAAATTTTCTATTTGGAATGCAACCAAACATGGAAATGGTAACAAGTGGCCAAAGAGAGAAGAAAAGTATAACAAATTAATCACTCACCTGTATCCGAACTATCACATAAACCTGCTTTCAAATACAATTGCTTCTCCAAGCGACGTTCCTCCTGCAACAGTTGAGCCATATCGGGTGGTGGGGCCACCGTAAGCTCCAAATAAGTTTCATCATCATCCAAAGATGAACCCTCAATACCCAAGAAACTAGAACGTTTATTGCGCAATTCCTTCTTAATGCGCTTCGTAGAGTTCATACGTTTAATGGGTGGCGAAGGTTGATCTGGGGATAAATGATGTTGATGATTGTGATGATTAAGTTGATGACGTGACAGGGTCTCGTAGGTATTATCCGATGACCAGGCATCGGTGTGACTGCTGCTATCGACATCATCGAAAAGAGGAGGACTATCGACCGGGGGTGGTGGTGGTTTTTCTTTGGGCGGTTGTAGATTAACACTTAAATCATGGGGGTTTAAGTCGCTGCTGTTATTGCCATTGAAGAATATTTCAATATTTTCATAGACCGGTACCGGTTTTAAATGTTTGGGTGCATCATAATAGGGTTCACTAGATTTGGGTACTTGATAATAAGGTTCCGTGTTAAGATCGCCAGATGGGTTAGGGTTGTTTATAGCGGTTTCTTTAGTTGTTGTAGGAAGAGTTTTTGGAAGATTATCGTTTACTGTTAAAGCTGTAGTTTTGATTTCGACTTCTGAGCTTTCAATAGTGGGCTGTTCGAGATGATTGAAGGTGATTTCTTTAAAAGTTGTTGTTGTGTTTAAATCACTATGATTTTTATTTTTTGTTGTTGTAGTTTTGGCTGATGTTGTTGTTGTTATTGTTGTGTTAGCAAAAGCATTTGTTAACTCAACTACTTTACAATTATTATTATTAATATTTTGATTATTTTGTATATTATTATTAATTTTACTGTTGTTGTTGTTATTATTATTATTATTTGGACAATTAAAACTGTTGTTAATTTGACTATTTTGTAATTGATTAGATGCTGATGCTAAATTTTGTTTAATTGTTTGATTTGAATTTGAATTTTGATTTTGTTTAAGATTTTGAGAATTGAAATTTTGTTTGGAATCATTATTAGTTGTTGTTGTTGTTGTAAGATCTATATCAATTTGGGTTTTACTCATCATACTTGGAATGATTTGTTGTTGTTGTTGCTGCTGCTGTTGTTGATATGATGTTTTTTTAGTTGTTATAACCACATCTACTTCTCCTGTTGATGTAGTGGAGCTTATATTCTCATAAATGGGTTCTTTTGAGATTTCCTCTTCAGATTTTTCTTTAATTTCCAAAGTTGTGGTAAATTGTTCTTCCAATTTTAATTTTTCACATTTCTCTTCATCGGTTTTATTTATTAAAATTTCCTCCTTTTCTTTTGATTCTAAAGTTTTATGAACAACTTCAAGTATTTCCGTTTCCTGGGCAATTTCTTTCAAAATGTTGTTGTTGTTATTGTTGTTAGTAGTAGTAGTTGTTGTAGTAGTGGAAATAGTATTATTGGATGGGGCAGTTATTGGATACAAATTCTCTGGCTGTTGCTGTGGCGTTGGCTGCTGTTGCTGCTGTAGCTGCGGTATCGTCTCTTTGTCAATTGCTGCCAGCGCCAATTCCAGAGCTTCGTTGATCTAAATTTCCATTTAGAATTTAAGCAGTTTGTTTATATATCATTAAAAAGCAAAGCGCGCAGCATGTTTTAGATTTTGTTTATAAAAAAAACATAAAAAAAGAAAAAAAAGCACAAAAAAATTAATTAAATTTTTAGCCTTTGGTTAGTTTTCTTTAAAATTATTACATTAACAGTTAGTAGCAAAAAAAAAAATATATATATATATATATATTTACAAACATTTTAAAAGTAGTTTTTTTAATTAAAACTTAAAAAAATCCACGTAAAATAAATATTACTTGCAATATAAACAATTTTCAAGCAAAACTATATAAATAACGAAAAAATCTATAAAGGCAATAATTAATCAAACGTTTCCATTTCATTGTAAACACAAACAAAATCTTTAATTGCTCACAAAAAAAAAGAAAAACAAATATAGAGTATTTAATTGCTATAAAAAAAAACTTTAATTAAGACAAACAAATAAATATAAAAAACATTTAACAGAAATCATGCAAAACGTTTAAACATCAAGGGATATTAAAAAAGTGCAATATTTACTATAGATTGAAGCTTTTAATTAATAAAACTTTTCGTTAAAGTCTTTTATTAAGTCAAGTGTTTATACCATACAAAATAAACAAAAAGCTTTCATTAAGAAATTCGTTCTTAAAAGCCTTTTTGGATATTTTTCTACAAAAAAGCTTTTTTTATGTTCTAAAAGCTCAACTCTTATTTGTAGCTTTGGAAATAGAAAGCTTTGTTAAAAGCTTTTATAATTAATGTTCCTCATAGAAAGATTTTTGAGCTTTTATAACAATTGTTATAGTTTTCACAATATGAAAGCTTTTCTTAAAGTTTCCTTAAGAAAGCTTTAATAATAAGAACCCTTTACTTGAAACCATAACACACATTAAACGGAAATTCCGAAAAAGCTCTTAAAAGTAAACAAGTAAAAGCTTTCATTATAATAGAAAATTTTTCTTTAAAAAAACTTTTATAATAAAATCATTTATAAAAAGTTGTTATTATTAAAAAGCTTAAATTTGGTGAAAAGTTTAAATTTGGTGAAATACATGTGTTAACAAATGTCTTATGAAAAAGCTCAATAAAGAGTTTTTAATAAAAAAAGCTTGACTAAAAAGCTTTCATTATAGAAAACTCTTTATCGAAAAAACTTTATATAAAACTATCCCAAAAAAATTTAATTATAAAAATGCTTTCTTGGAAAGCTTTCGTTATAAAAAAAAGTATTTTTAGTACAAAAAGCTCTTATTACGAAAAGTTTTTACACTCATTTGTTGCATAAAGCATTTTTAATATTTTTTATTGCAAAAGCTTATAATAAAGAAAGCTTTTTTGAAAAGATTTCGTTATTTGAACCGAAAAGTAGTTTTAATCGATTTTATTGCAAAAGGATTTCATTACAAAAAGTTTTGTTAAAAACTTCTAGTATATATAGCTTTAGCTTATAGTAAAAAAAGCTTTTATAAGCTTTTCTTACACAAAGCTTTTTTCAGGAGTTTTTATTACAAAAAAAACTTAAAAATTTTTTGTTATAAAAAGCTGTTATCGAAAATATTTGTTATAAAAAGCTTTTTTCAAAAATTTTGTAATAAAAATCTTTTTTCAAACATTTTTGTTATAAAAAGCTTTTTTCAAAATGTTTATTACAAAAAGCTTTTTTCAAAAGTGTTTATTACAAAAAGCTTTTTTGAAACTTTTATATTAAAAAAACTCTTTTTTACTTTTATTGTTAAAAGGCTTCATTTAAAAGCTCTACCACACAAAAACTTCAAAATTATTTCTATAATATGAGCACTTTATAAAAGCTTGGTGTTTACAATTATTTCCAATAATTTAAAAAACGATATTTTCTTAAAAGTATTTTTTATAAAAGCCGTTATACAAGCTTTTATTATAAAGAAGCTTAACAAAAAGGTTTTATTATAAAAATCTTAATCGAAAGCTTTTATTATAAAAAGTATTTATCAGAAAAAGATTTTATAATAAAAACTTAGCTTAAAGCTTTAATTGTGATAATAGCTATTTATTATAGAAAGGGTTTTTAGAAAATCCTTGCTTAAAGCTTTCTTTGCAAAAAGGTTTTTTCCAAAAGTTTTTATTATAAAGAATGTCTTGTCCTTATTACCAAAAAGTTTTTTAAAAAAGCTTTTATTATAAAAGAACCTTGTGAAATGGCTTAATCGAAAAGCTTTTATTACCAGAAAACTTTTACATATTATAAAATGTATTTATTAAGAAGCTTTTATAATAAAAACTTTGGTTTAAACTTTTATTGTTAAAAAAACGTTTTATTATAAAAAGTCTTTATTTAAGCTTTTATTGTAAAAAAGCTTTTTATATAAAAAATCTTTTTTATTAACAAAATAAAAAAAATTTAAAAAGCTTTATAGAAAAGCTTTTTCTATTAAAAAAACTTTGTCCCAAAGCTTTTATTTTAAAAATCTTGATAAGAAATCTTTTACATTTTATAAAAAATTTTGATAAAAAGGCTTTCGTTAAAATTTCGGTTATATGTATTTTTATTATAAAAAAGTTTTTATAAAAAGTCTTTATTAAAAAGATTTTATTATATAGAAATAATAAATAAGCTTTTTGGTAAAGCTTTTATTATTTCAAAATGATTTGTTCAACAAGCTTTTTGAAAAGTTTTATACAAAAAAATAAAAGCTCTTTATCATAAAATCTTTTATTATGATTTTTAAAATTTTTTTTAAGAAGCTTTACTTGAAAGCTTTAAACCTTTCATAACAAATTTGGAATTGAATTTTCCTAAAGAAAATAGATTTTTTTTAGGGAAGAGACCACTTTTATTAATATGTCAAAAAAGCTTTCATTATAAGATTTATCAATCGATGACGCCTTACTCTCTAGCAGGTCTAAAAACTTTTATTTTATAGAGGGGCTGCTTGATTACCTATGTTTTTTTTTATAACATTTCACCTCAATTTCAAACAGTTAAGCTTTTTTTAACTAATTATTTAAAGATTAGATTTCAACGTCTCTTATGTGATTTAATTTATTAATTTAAAGTGTTTTTTGATAAATAAATTACCAAAGTAAAGTTAAAAAATACAATTGAACTCTTTATTGACGTTATCAATAAACAATTATAATGAAATTTAATTAGCGGTTAAAAATAAACACCGGAATTAAAAATATATTTTTTTAAGTAACAGCAAAAATTTTAAAAATTTTATTAAGACTTTTTTTAATTTTTCACACAATTTTATTACTCAATTCCTTAATATGCCAATTTGAATTTAGTTTCAAATATAGGAAAAGTGTTTTGGTTAAGAAATCTTAAAAAATACTAACTAAAAATTACATTTTTTAAAACAAAATCTAAAATTATTTCTTTTTTTTATCGTTGCAACTAATTAAATTTATTTAACATTCTGTTGTCATGTTAAAACATTATTAAGGTTGTTGGATTTTTGTTGCAATCTCTTCACCTTTTTGGCTTAAAAGGGCTGCGTAACACAGTGAATTTAAATCTTGGGACTTTTAACATTTTTGCCATAAAATTTCTGCAGAAATTCCGATAACTAAACAATGTTGAAATATTTTTGTTTTTGTGCGTATTGTTGATTTTTTTATCTTTTATTCTAGTTATTTAAAAATCATATTTATTGATTAATTTGAGTTAAAAATATGTGAATAATGTATGAGTTTTTTTGTATATTGATAAGGTTTCTTTTTTGTTTACAAATAAGGGGTAAAAAACTGTTGAATAAAATTGTTTTTTTTATAGTAATTTCAATATCGATTTAGTTAATCATTTATCATGAGTTTATTGCTGTCAAATAAGTGTGAAAGTGTAATTGTCTGTTTTTTTTCAAGGGATTATTTCGCCCCATTACTAGCCAATGTAGAGATTTAATTAACTACTAAATAGTTAATTCTACAGAGTATTTTTTATAGAAATGTATTCCACAGGAAACAGTAGAGTAACCTTTTTAAAGAGAACTCTCTCCAGAGAAAACTTTTTTGAAAGAAATTCTCTCTAGAGAGAGAAAGAAAACTTTGTCTAGAGAAACTTTTCTAAAGAACACTCTCTCCAGAGAAACTCTTATAAAGTAAACTCTCTCTAGAGAAACTTTTCTAAATCAAACTCTCTCTAAAGAAACTTTTCTAAAGAAAACTCTCTCCAGACAGACTATTCTAAAGAAAACTTTAACTTTTCTAAAGAAAACTCTCTATAGAGAATCTTTTCTAAAGCAAACTCTCTCTAGAGAAACGTTTCTAACGAAAACTCTCTCTAGAGATACTCTTGTAAATCTCTCTTTTAAGAAAATTAGCTAAAGAGAACTCTATTTAGAGAAACATTCCTAAAGAAGACTCTCTCAGACTTTTCTAAAGGAAACTCTCTATAGAGAATCTTTGCTAAAGCAAGCTCTCTCTAGAGAAACGTTTCGAACGAAAACTCTCTCTAGAGATACTCTTGTAAATCTCTTTTTTAAGAAAATTTGCTAAAGAGAACTCTATTTTCTTTTTTACTTTTCTAAAGAAAACTCTGTCTAGAGAAACGTTTCTAAAAAACTATTTCAAGAGAAACTTTTACTAAGAAATCTCTTTCTAAAGAAAATGTTCTAAAGAAAACTCTTTTTAGAGAAACTTTTCTAAAGAAAACTTTCTTTAGATATTCTTTTCTATAGAAAACTATCTTTAGAAAAACTCTTGTAAAGAAAACTCTCTCTAGAGAAACTTTTCTGAAGAAAACTCTTTCTAGATAAACTCGCCTTAAGGAAACTGTCACTAGAAAAACTTTTCTAGAGAAAACTCTTTCTAGAGAAACTAATGTAAAGAAAAAACTCTCTAGAAAAACGTTTCTAAAGAAATCTTTCTCTAGAGAAAGTTTCCTAAAGAAAACGCATTCTTTTCTAAAGAAAAATATCTTTAGAGAAACTCTTGTAAAGAAAGCTCTCTCTAGTGAAACTTTTCTAAAGGAAATTCTGATTAGATAAACTTGCTTAAGGAAACTTTTCTAAA